ACAGTTATTAAAGCGGTCGAAACATGTAAAATGTAATTACCCATAATCCTTGTTGGTCTCAGCTTTTTTGACAAGCATTTTTCTAGACGAACCGACAAATCAAAGACTCTTTCAAAACTTTTTATATTTCTTTCAAAAACTCATCAATAATTCATAAGCTTATGGTCCAATTGGAGCCACCATACACGTCACGTGCACGGACCTTTATACCCGATAAAATCCTCTTCATTAGTATTCTTTACATAAAGAATACTAATAAGGATGATTTGGTCCAATTGGAGCCACCACACACGTCACGTTCATGGACCTTTATATCCGATAAAGAACACTACACTAGTATTCTTTATATAAAGAATACTAATAAGGACGACTTTATCAGAGATAAAGGTACATCCAATTTAGATGAAGACTCACCGACGACCAACGAAATCGAATTTGACTAGCAATCCTTTCTTGAGACTAGCATGCTGTCTTTAAAATGTGGGAGCCTTTATTGGGAATGACTGCAAATGATAGTGACGTAYAAACCTCAACTGCGCATGACAGGTACATACGAACTGCTATCGATGTATAAAAGTCYATGTTCGTGATGTGTATGGTGGCTTCAGTTGAACCAAAATCTTATAAATTGTTCATGAGTTTAGCTACGCCTCGTGCTTTCATTAAGCAGCTAATACGGACAAAGGTCAGCTGTCCCAGTATGAAAGGATTCTTTTCCGTCATTGATAGTTACCTTATATGCTCTGAATTTAATATATATATATATATATATATATCCAGGAAAGATATTTTAAGTCTCTTTCATTTTGAGGTTAATGTAAGGCTGATGTCTGGTCAATGTATAGTCGATAGCGATATCACCACCCCCACCCCACATCCACCTTAGGGACCAGTCATTATTTAAGTAGGAGGGAAGGGGGGGAGGGGGTGGAGGAGAAAATGGGGGGCCCTCAATTTTTTTAGTGGAACAAGGGGGGCCTTCAAAACTCAAATGAAAGGATGGGGAGGATTAGGACGAATTTTTAAACGATTGAAGGGGGGGGGGGTACCCGATAAACATCAATGCTATTAAGTAGGTCTGGAAAGTTTTCTGCATCAAAACCATTTT